GGAAGAAGGGAGGGGTGGGGGGAAGGTGCTTTAAGATTTGGTTTTTATTTCTCGTTACCCTACTCTGATTTGATTGGCAATAAATTAAATTCATTTTCCCCAAGTCGAGTCTGTTTTGCCTGTGACGGTAACTGGTGAGTGATCTCTCCCTGTCCTTATCTCAACCCACGAGCCTTTTGTTCTATTTTCTCTCCCCTCTCCAGCTGAGGAGGGGAGTGATAGAGTGGCTTTGGTGGCCACCTGGCATCCAGCCGGGGTCAACCCACCACACAGACCTTAGCGAAGGGATTTGACTGAAGGGGGACAAGGAGAAAACAAGTGGGGTGTGCAGGCCCTAGAAGCAGGGCCAGTTTTCTAAGACAGGAAACTGGAGTGAGAATGGAAGGAGGTGTCTCATACACATAATTCAGCATACATATTTAAAAATGTTCACATGTGGTGGTTTTTTCATTGCAAAGACACACGGCAATTGATGGAGGCCTTTAAATGCAACAATTCCAACAACTTGAGGGTTATCACAGCGATTAGGGCCAAGATGCATTCTTGACCAGACTGAACCTAGTTAAAGACAGAATAAAGTAAGGCACCGTGGCCTATGAAGCAATGGGGGACTGCGTATCATGGCAGGAGAGGAACCACTCTCTAAAGCAACTGGAGACAAGTAACAGCTGTAATAGTAAAAACAAATAATTTGTATTTACTATCTAATTAACATTGACTTTGTAGTTACCATAGGAAGAAGATGATTAGTCCCATCTCATTCTTTAAAAGGCAAAAGAAATGGCTGTTCAGAAGAAGATACAGCTGATACTGCAGACAAATACTTTTCAGGTGTGTTTTCTGAAAGACACAACCAAGATGATAGCTTGTCACAATCTGATTTCACAGAATTTTGCTTTAGTACTGACTTAATTAACCAATTTGACAAGACATCCAATCAAGACAAGACTACCTGTTGTGTGTAGATTGAAAGACCAACTGATTTGTAACTTGCAGAAATATATAGTCACTTTACAAAACAGTTGGTAGAAAATCAGATGCCGAAGACACATTGCAAAAATCTGAACTCATCCTGGGCTCCCTATTTATTTATCTGTTCATACTGCAGACTGCAATTTAATGCAGGGACAGCATAAAGAACTTTTGTTTTGTTTTCTGTCCTGGAGATCTTTCTCCTGGCTACCTTTTGCCACCCAAATTCTATGAATTACCTACAACTATAACATTACCTACGATAGTGTGGTTGCATATATACGAAGCTCTGCATCGAATACATCAAATGCTATAGTTATGTGTATAGATCTTAAATATAGTATTTAGATATAATATATATTTATACTTCTTTACATAGTGTACGTACATCTAATAGTGGGAAGTGATGCATTTAAGAATTCTGTCAGTGGAGTCTGGCAACTGGAAATAAGGAGGAGGTGAGAGCTGTGCATTGACCATCAGCAAACGTTTCACTATGCACAGCCTGGGAGTCTTTGTTCCAAAGTCACAAGCCTTTTGATTTAAGCTGATACAGTTCCTTCACAGAGCTAGGTTAATTATCTGCAACTGTGCTTCTGATCCAAGGTTTTATTTCTTATCATATGTGCAACACTTTTATATTAACTGACTCAAACGACGTTTCTTTAGCAGTAGTTTATTTACGTACTAACTTGCAAGCGAATATTTAAAAATGGACCAGAGAACATAATAAAACAAGAGCTAGCACTGTAAAGTGCAGTGGTAAAAATACAAAAATGGGAGGTCAATCCATACATTGTCAGGTTTGCAGCTAACTTGCCGAAAGCCACCTGTTATTAAAGCATCTACTGGCAAAGCCAGGAGAGTGATACTTACATGTACAGGGAACTTCTGAAGAGTATTTGTAACAAATATTTGTTACTCTCTTCAATGGAAAATGTTTTAAATACATTGCAATTATTTTGTTTCCAAAACCCAAAGATATAGCCAAAATAGCGTAGTAACCTAATTACTACATAAATTCCACACTCAATAATGGAAAGCAGTGCCAGTCCCTTTTATCACCTGTGTGTGTCCAAAACCTGTTAAATAAGAAGTATGTAAATGAATGATAAATAGATAATCTAAATTAAAGTAAGGCCAGAGCAAGTAATATCTCATCCATCTTCTGAACTATTTCAGTATGGAACATGCTGTGTTATTGTTACCCAAAGCGTGTCTAAAAACAAAGCTCAACCTGTTACTGTTTCCACAACAAATGGAAATCGAAAATATGTGAGTATTAAAACCAAAATATTATATATATAAATATAATAAATATTTTCCAAACATACAAGAATTTAATGGGAAAGAAATATTAACTGCTTGGCTATGGTCAAATGAGATAAATCATTTTGTTACAGTATGACAGAAAGGCTGTAACATTTCCACAGTTAATGTTTGATCTGAAATTTGTCATGGTGGTGTGTTTGTTTTTTTTTTTTTAAATCTGCATACTAACTGTTTTGATTTGATTTGCCAATCCTTAAAAAATATTCTATTTTGTTTTTTGGCTTTTTTCTTTTATTTAACTGAAGTTCAAAAGTAACCTTATGGGGAAACTCAAAGTACATTTAAAGAAATTTAAAATCTGATTTGTTGGATACAGCTGAAGAAAACATGTTTTAATCCCATGTTTAAATTTTTTAAAATTATTTACAATGTTTTAGAAACATTTTACAGTAGGTAAACATTTTGATCATCTTACAAGCCAGTTTTTACCAAATGAGATGAGGTGGCTACAAATGAAAATATGAAAGACTTATGTTGGGTCCATAAGCACTTATAGAATCATAGAATCATAGAATAGTTTGGGTTGGAAGGGACCTCTAAAGGTCACCTAGTCCAACCCCCCTGCCGTGGGCAGGGACATCTTCAATTAGATCAGGTTGCTCAGAGCCCCGTCCAACCTGACCTGGAATGTTTCCAGGGATGGGGCATCCACCACCTCTCTGGGCAACCTGTGCCAGTGCTTCACCACCCTCAGCATCAAAAATTTCTTCCTTATATCTAGTCTAAATCTACCCCCCTTTAGTTTAAAGCCATTCCTCCTTGTCCTGTCGCAACAGGCCCTGCCAAAAAGTTTGCCGCCATCTTTTTTTATAAGCCCCCTTTAGCTATTCTATAAAATGACTTACCAGCTTTGTGTTTCATAATTACTATTACAGGGCCTTAAAAAGCTGATTTGAGAGGGAGTTCCAGTCCAAATGCATTGTCAAATTTATGCTGTAGAACAAAGTGTTCAAGGTGAGGAAAATAATACATTACAGTACCTAATGAATGGGCCAGGGTTATCATTAGTTGTCATTTGTTTCCTTTTTTTAATAATTGTTCATTGTGATGACAATGGAACGCTGTGTTCTTAATGATTAATGAAGTTGTCTTGATCTTTGATTTTCTTAAATATGGTAGGTAACTTTTATTGTAATGAAATAATCATTGCTAATTTAAAATAAAAGCTTAGTTTTTAGAATTAATAGAGAACATGCATACTCTAAAGGGTATTCCATTTGTTTATAGAGAAAGAGGTTCTTAATGTCCAGTAGATCACCTAACACATTCCTTTCAGCAATTCGGGGCCGTTTTCTAACTGAATTTCTTAATTATTTCATCCAAACTATTATTCAACAACACAAGGAATGTTAGTTCACTTACACGCTTTGACAAATTATTCTCCTGCCTTGAACACACGTTGCTGTAATTTAAAAATTTCCTTTGGCTAGTGTCAGTTTTTCATTTCTTACACTGTTTAATCATTAACCAATTCCTCTCTGTCTTCATAACGTCTCTGATACTTACTCTTGTTTTATGGAAGCTTGAACTTTGGACGAGGCAGCAGCTCATATTTAAATACATACATATTTTTATCTGTAGCTTGTGTCCTGATAACCTGCAACTCTAGGTTAAGAATTGAAGCCTTTGTAAGCGAATATATGTTATTCCAAAATGCAATTGAGACTTATGATATGCACAATAATCTGTTTGGAAAAAGAATGCTGTTTTCTTATAATGAAGTTAAAATGAAGCACTTCAAGAGCAGCTACCACTGAGTAAAATCAAAGCCACAGTAGTACTCTTTTCTCTTTAAAGAAGCAAACGTATAAGCAAATGACAAAACTTTTCTTTAACAAGGCAGAAAGAGTTGCTGATTTTGCTGGTCTGGCTATCACAAAAACTAGAAGTCAAAAGAAAATATTGATAGATCTTTACAATATTTAAGTTACACGTGAAGGAAAGTACTGAAAGCTAAAATTACATGGGTTTGCCTATATACCGTATATCTAAACTTCTTTATTAAGACTTGCTTATAAATTTCTCAGTGAATCCTTGAGATGTGATATTTATAACTAGGAAAGTTTAGTTCCTGTGCAAGTTGATTTTATCTGCAAAGGTCCACTACATTTTATTGCTTATTTTGAACTGTATTTTTATTCTTAGTTACAGAATTTAGATCCTGAACCTACAAGTCCTTGACCACTTCTTGTTTACGTGTGCATATGCTTTCAATATTCTTCTTCAGTCTTTCTTTCTTTCACTGGGATCTCTATTTGATAAGTAAGTAGACAGCAGTCTTCTCTCAGCCTCTATTTTGCTAGACTATTGCACTAGGTCTGGTCAGGATGGAGTTAATTTTCTTTGTAGTAGCTGGTATGGTGCTATGTTTTAGATTTGTGACTAAAACAGTGTGGATAACTCACCAATGTTTTAGCTATTGCTGAACAGTGCTTGCAAGGCCTTCTCTTTTTCTCACTCTGCTCTCCCCTACCACCCCCAGCGAGGAGGCTGGGGGTGCACAAGAGGTTGAGAGACAACATGGCCAGGACAGCTGACCCAAACTGAGCAAAAAGATACATCATACCATGTAACATCGTACTCAGCATTAAAAGGAGGGGGGGAGTTTTTCAAAGGTAACCATCGCTCGGAGACTGGATGGGCATTGGTCTGCTGGTGGGAGGCGGTGAGTGTTTGCTTTTGCATTACTGGGGGGGGTTTATCTTTTTTTCATTACTTATTAAACTGCCTTTATCTCAATCCCTGAGTTTTTCTCACTTTCACCCTTCCAGATCTCTCTCCTGTCTGGCTGGGGCAGGGAGTAAGGAAGCAACTGGGTGGCAGCTTAGCTGTAGTGTCAACCCACTACGATTACACTATGCAATCTCTTGAAATCATTTGCCTCCATTTCCATGATCTTCCTAGCAGTCCTCATCTGCTTCATTTTTCTTGAAAACAAGTGACCAGAAGCATACAAGATACTGAGATCTCATGAAGGATTTAGAAACTGGTGCTAATATTTTCATCTTCCATGGGAAAAAGGGAAATGGCTAGTGCCAGTGTTTTCTTCATGACTGTATCACACCGGTGGCTCATCCTTCAGTAATAAGTTCCCCTGCCAGAACTTTATGTTCGTTTCTTTCAGAATCCTGGAATGTCTGAAGAATCTATCACTATTTGCAAAAAACGCTCCCCCCCAAAAAAAAAAGCCCAAAAACCAAAGTCTAACCTGCTTAATTTTGGGTTACTCTCCATTTATCCCTAACTTCCTGACCTCTAGCACACAGCTTTTTTCTTGATCAGTCCTTTCTCCTTTTGCCTCTGGGCTTTCTGGCTAGTCTCAACGGTGCTGATAGGCATCACTGGTCCTTCCATTCCTTACTCCTGTAAGCAAATCATTCTCCTCAGACTGTTCTCTCTTGCGACACCCTGTGTTCCATTTTTGTTCATCCTTGGCTTCCTGGCTTCCCTCTTTTTTTTGTGTGTATGATGTGTTGCTCTTCCCTTATTTGTTGCCATGCAATGTTTTGTTTCTGCCCATTTCTCATCTTCATTCT